AACATTGTGTTGATGTTGAGCTGAGTTGAAACAGGGCTTATGCTTATGAAAAGCACAGAGTTTGTCATCATCAAAAAGGAGAAATTTGTTGGCCTAAGTGAAGAAGATACAAAGGAAATCAAGAATGAACCATGTCCATACATAGTATACACAGACACAGACAGATTCAAGCACAAGGCATGCACGTGAAGGAGATAAGCTTAAGTGATTATATCTGATATCTCCTGAACGAAAATGTTGCATAAGTGATAAGGAGAAGGACTCCTTACTCGAAGAGAATTCTATTCTAGATAAGGGAGGAGTTAGAAGTTGAAGATAACTAGAACTATTCCACCACGGAAGAGTATAACATTAGAACTCTAGCTATTTCCTATTCTACTAATTCTATATATTGCAGAATTGTCACGAAAAAAAATCTCACCACAGGCGTCGTGATGGCACATTGTCTCTAAGACTAGATAAGCCGATTACAATTACAATTCATGCCATTTGTTTTTGAAATAGATAATCGAATACACGTGTCGAAACCAACAACGGAAATAATTCTAACAACCTCCCAAGACTGGTAATACTGAGTCACGAACTCTAACTGAATACATGCAATGATCTCAAGGATCGAATATACAATACTGTTCGAACAAGAGTTGAAAGTACAATAAAATGGAAAGACTCCCAGGGACTGCGACGACCAAGAAACTCTACCTTAAATCCTTGCGATCACACTCTAACCTCTGTCCGAACCCGATATCTCCAATACCTGGCTCTGCACAAAAATGTACAGAAGTGTAGTATGAGTACACCACAGTCGGTACCCAGTAAGTATCAAGACTAACCTCGGTGGAGTAGTGACGAGGTACAGTCAAGACACTCACTAGTCAAATAACCTGTGCAATATAGCTGAATACAATAGTACTGAAAAACAACTAGTAGTGATAGCAACAAAAATCAACCAGTGATATAAACAGCAAGGCAACAAGAACACCATAATTATTGCTCAAACAAATAATATACACAAGTACAACCAATTAATCAAGTCCTTCAAATATATATCTTTCACATATAACTCTTTCGAATAAATACCTTCCGAATATACTTCTTTCAAATAAATATCTTTCGAATATAAAATTCTTTCAAATCAATATCTTTCGAATATACTTCTTCCAAATAAATATCTTTCGAATATAAATTCTTTCAAATAAAAGTCACTCTGTGACACCTCATTTCATAATCATAAAATATGGGTCTCAGTCCACTATTATATTTTTATAACACGGGTCTCAGCCCACTTTCATGTTTTCGTAACACGGGTTCAACCCACTTTCATGTTTCTATGGCACCTCGTGCCCATATTTCTATCAAAACCGCACGGACAACTCACGTGTCAATAATAAAAATCATCATATTTTTTCCGGCACCTCGTGCCCATATTTCATATTTGTTGCGGTGTGCAACCCGATCCCATATAACATTAATCATACCTATTGCGGCGTGCAACCCGATCCCATGTAACATAATCCGCTCGGCACTAGCCACATGCTCACAATTTCAATATAGATCAGACTATCATCAAGTATTCAAGTTTACCGAAACAACAAGACAAGTTGCACAAGATATAAAAATAAACACAAGAAAAATCACAACATCACATGAAAATTACCAACACAATAACCCCACATCATCACATAAAAATTATCAACACAATAACCCCACATCATCACATATCATCCCTGACAATAGCCACCCTTGTCTCTCCTATAGCCACCCTTATCACTCCTATAATAGCCTCTCTTATCTCTCCGTCCTGACAATATCAATAGCTACCCTTATCGCTCCTATAGCCACCCTTATCGCTCATATAGCCAGCCTTATCGCTCCTATAGCCACCCTTATCGCTCCTATAATAGCCTCCCTTATCGCTCCGTTTAATAGTCTCCCTTATCACTCTGCCCAGACAATATTCCAACACACATAACAACAGTGAAATGTCATCCTTATGCCCACATAATGTCAACAATAGAATGCCACCCTTTTACGCCGTATAACAACAACCCAAATCACACAACAATTCACATAGAATATTATCACAACAGCACAATATCATCAACTCGTATTTACAAATTGCCCGTAGGCCACAACCATTCCAAAGGTACAACAAAGTCAAGTAATTTCACAACAGATAGTCCACAACTCAACACAATGTATATAAAATCTCAAAAACAACCATAAGGATAGGAAAATAACTCATCATATGACAACGCCTTCTTTAATCCAAATTTTAGATAAATATATAAACGCCTCAATTTAAACTTATTTAATTAATTATTTGCAGATAAAAAAATCCATAATATGATTATTTTCAAGAAATATCAAATCAACAAACATACGGAATTCACATAAAAATTCAAGTAGCAATCACACCAAATTATCATATAAAATACAACCTCAACAAACAAGGAATGAGGCATGATAAATCAAGGATTTACTAAGTTCTAATAATTTTTCAATTTAATACATAAGGGCATCTACGAATTTCAATCGATATAATTTGCACATATAAACCAAGTACGTACTCGTCACCTCGCGTACATGGTTTTCAATTACACAATTTTCACATAAGACTCAATGCTTAAGGGGTAATTCCCTCGCTCAAGGTTAGGCAAGATACTTACCTCGACGAAACTAAGTCAATACTTTAAATGATCTTCGCGAGTAAAGCCACTTTCGGATGGCTCAAATTTGAAATTCGCCCCTTAATAATACTACGATGATCCAGCACACTAAACAAATTTCAATCTACAACAATGCAACACAATTTCACCAATATTAGTAAACAAATTTCCAGATTTTTGGTCATTTAGGCATTTTATCAAACACCTAGAGTACATAGCATTTTACTACCTCTAGTAATGGTGTTTCTTCATCCAACAATTCCTCCTTCCCACCAACAAGAGATACTAAACCATTCTTTGTCTATAAACAACCTTCTTTAGCACCATTAAAATCATCAATGAACTCACATCCACCCAATTATTGGTAATAATTCATTACAAAATCTCTACAACACCCAATAATCTAGTTTAAGTATTTATGGCTCCCAATCACCATCCAATAAGTGTTAATACTTATTTATTGCTCACATACTCATAATAAATCCATACATGTAAGTCTAAGGGTAAAGGATTACCTTTTTGAAAGAAATCTTGCAAAACCCTCCTTTGAGTTCTTGAAGAATTTTCTTGAAAATCTAAGTATTTTATGTGTAGATTTCATCAATACTAGTGTAGAAATGATGGAATTTCATACTAAGATAATGGGGATTGCTTACCTTGAAGAAGAGAGGAGTTGATGGTCTTGAGAGAGTGGAGAAGAGCTCCAAAATCCGTCCAAGTAAAATGGGGAAATTAACCCCGAATTGGCTTAAAAAGAGCTGAAGCTATGGCGCGTCTACTCTAGCGAAGTGTGCCTCACTTTGCTGTCCACTGCAGGTAAGGAAAGACAAGATCCGCGTCTGGTCTGGCGAAGCGAGCTTCGCTTCGCTGTCCGCCAAATTAAGTAGGTGGTATAACTTTAGTAATTTGATCATAACTTTTAGTAGGAATGTCCAAATGACGAACGACTTGATGCGTTGGAAACTAGACTCAAAGGGCTACACTCTAGGTACAAAATTCATGGAAAGTATCTTTACATTATGAGAGTTATACCCGTTCAAACGTAAGTGTTGTATAAATTAAGATACTTTTTCCACTTAATATTTTTCAACTTTCACCAATTAGTGCCGAAACCTTAGACCTATCCAAATGCAAATCCGGGCATACGCCTAAGTCCAAAATCACTATCCGACACTAACGGAACCATCAAAATTCTGATCCGAGGTCGAATACTAAAAAAAATCAAATTTGGTCAACTCTTTCAACTTAAGAATTCAAACATGGAATTTATTCTTCCGAACTAATCCCGAAACACCTGAAAATCAAAACCGACGATTCACTCAAGTCATAATACATCATATGAAGTTATTCAAGACTTCAAATAGTTGGAAGGAGCGTAAATGTTCAAAACGACAAGTCGGGTCGTTACAAGAATGTTCTCATTGTACAGGTACGCACAAATGCTGAAGTTAAATGTGAGTTGAGAGCAAAATAACAAGGCATTTTGCAAGCAATTCTTGTGTGATTCAAGTGTGCGAACCTGAAGCTACATGAACCAGATAGAAAAATCAGTTACAAGTGTTTGTCTTTTATTCTAGTTTTATTGTAGTAGGGCTTTTGAGTTGTACCTTTTAGCTTTATCTAGAAGCAATTGTACTAGATACCCTGAATGTTGTATTCAAGTTAGAGTTAACTTGAAGTTGTCGCAACAACTAGAGGTTGGTTGCCACAAAGGGTTAGAGGTAATACTTAGGTTTACAAAGAGCTTTGTAAATGTTATTTTTGGTTTAGTGATTTAGTGAAGTGTTGGGAAAAATCTTACTGGGTAGTAGGTTGTGATTTTTTTACCTTTTGAGCCAGGTATTTTTCACGTAAAAATACTTGTGTTCTTTACTTTTCACATTTATTATTCCGCAACAGTAGTATAAGAAATACATAGAAGAACCATGTTCTTCTATAATTTGTGCACACAAAAAATTAGACAACACACAAATTACTCGGATGTGGTATTGCAGTTCAAAACATCATGCACAAACTTTTAAAGCGATGAAGGTGCTTGCAAAAAGTTTACTTTGTACCAAAAACTGTGACTTATTTTATAAAAAACGAAAGCTTTTCTGATGCAGACGAAATGCTTTATATAATTCGATCTAAAGTAGCTGATTTTGTTTAACATTTTTGCAGGAGAGTTTTTTTCCAAAAAACGGAATCAAGTATTTTGCAAATACCGTTTTTAGCCAAACAACAAGAAAAGGTTTAAATAGTTTTCAATTTTAAAATTTTTTAAAATATTTAAACTGATTTTCTTTTCTTGTTTTTTTTCTTTTGGCAAAACATCTCCCTCATATTTTGGTACTGGTAGTTAAACTTTGATTACGACTACAATCTACCAGTGCTCCTCTGTTCAACATTTCGCACACAGAGCAAGTGAGAGGGGAGCTTCTAGTTGGATAAATCAGTTCCTCTCATACTCATACTTGAGATTTTCCAATTTATTTATTACATCAGTTCTGTTACCTTTTCCTCCAATTCATTTTCATATAATTAACAATTGCAATTCATCAAAGTTCCAGAAACTTCCACTAAGCATGATCTTCTCCACATGAGAATGCGTCCCAATATGTTGCTACTGAAGAGACAACCGTCGAATTCTTATAGCCGACTCCAACAATTGTTTGTGACTGAGACATAGTAGTAGTCGATGTGTATCTTGTAAATTAGGTCGATGATAATCGTGGTTGCGTGAAGGATTTGAATTGAAGGAGGTCCAAAATGAGCACGGAAAGGCAGGCGGCGGTGATGGTTCGGGACCTGGTAGAGGAAGCTAAGAAGCGAGTTGTTTTTTTGATCATATGCGCCATTGGACTGTCCTATCTCATGTCTCGTAAGTGTTCATTCCCCCCAGCTCCTTTTTTTACCTTTCAGTTTGATCAATTTTCACTGACGAATTGCTGTTACTATTTCGTTTGCCGTAGTTCGTAATTGCTGTCATTTTGTTGTATTGAGCCGAGGACAACCTCTCTACCTTCATAGCTAGGGGTAACTGCCTATTGTTGTTGTTGATCATAGGTTTTTATTTACATGTCTAAATCAGCTATAAATTGAAATTGTCAAATTAACAATTGCTATGTGAATACGTGCCTCTAGCTGTACGAAGTGTATGTTTTGAATAAGGGCTTACCCATTTATGAAATGTTACCTCACTGATGGGGTGACTGGGCATATTTCTACAAAGAGTCTGCTTTTACGCCTTGTGACCATACTAATAACTATTCATAGTTCAACGATTTAGGGTTTTGGAATGTGGTTCAATGGTAAAACCAAGAGGAGGAAGGGACCTTTCCGGTCGTCACTTCACCTGGTAGTTATGATGCTCATCTCGGGGCCTACCTAATACAGATGTCCCTGAAATAGGTAAATGGTTGATTGCAGGGGCGGGATGTAGAGTGTAACATATGGGTTCAACAGGACCCAGTAGCTTTGGCTCAAACTCTGTATATGTATTAAGAAATTCACTAAATATGTACAAATATTAAATTCCCAACTCAATTATTAGCACTTGAGGTTGCTGTCCTAAAATCCCAAACTCATAAAGTTCAAATCCTGATTCCACCTCTAGTTGATTGGAAAGCTTAGGCAGTAGTAGGACATTCCATACAGATCTTTCTGAACCATGGTCCTCTCAAATCCCATATTTTCTTGGGTAGGTAGGGTGAATTCTAAGGTTCTGTGTTTCGGTCATAAACATAGTTTGATCATGTTCATAATGATGGATGCGGAAGTATGTAATTGAAGGGTGGCTCATTCACCTCCTCTCCTCTTGAATTTACTCGATCTCGCTGGTCATTCCCTGTATTTTGAACTATGTTTCAAGTATTTGACCTTGCAAATTCATTGCTTCCCATTGAACTACTCTGGTAAAAAGAGAGAAACGCAAGTCATGCGGTAGCTTGAATCTGCTAGAAATTGAGCTAGCGAAACTCTAAAAGCCCAAGTATCAGAGGGGTGACTGCTGAAACTAACTATGAAATGACAATTTAGGGTCACTTTAATGGAGAACTTCCTTGTGGCCTTTATAAACAAGCTTACTCATTATGAAGAATGAATTACTAAAATTTAAATGTTGCAAACTTGGAAAACCAAAAAAGGAGGGGGGAACAAATAAAAGAACTGCGCCTCAAGTATATTGATCTGTATCGGCTCGATATTGTTGGACTTTGAATTTGCTACTTGGTGTGAATTGGGGGTGTTAAATGTTTCCTTCCAAGAGCACGTTGACAGGGGTGCACCAGTAAATGATCTGGTTTGATTCCTGACATGTGCACAAAGAAGGACTCGCAAAATGATTACCTTTTTCTTGATCACACGGGTTTATTCATCCAAAATATGATCTTCTTTCCACTTTTGTTTGCTGTGCCCTGATTGTTGATTAAGATGAAGATGATTTCTATCTAAATATCCTGCATGCTGAGAAAAGTATTAGGTATCCCATGCATGTTGAGTCGTCGACAGAAAGAAACTTAAGGGTTCTTTCTTCACTATAAGGGCTACTGTGCCAAAAATGAAGTAGTTGGAAAAAGGTCCAGATCCCACATGTCATTCCCTTTCTAATTTGATTAATTTAGAAGTCTAATCTGTTTACAATGCAAGAACATCTAAGCCTACCAGATAGCGATCAAATTTATTTCTCTATTTCTCTCTCCCCTCCTTTAGGACGCACCACTGCTGATCATTTTCGCGATCATTTGGATAATGTGTGGAATCACTGACGGAGGACATTAGTTTATGAAATTCATTTTTCGTGGAGAGAAATATTCTGTGTTTCTCTAACATGCATTTTTAATAGAAAGAAGTCATTGTTCCTTTTCTTTCTTGATTTGCGACAGAACATTTATAGATACTGTTGATGGTTATCTTAAGATCTAGTGCTTCTCCCGTCAAATATTTTGACCCTTTGGAGAAAACAGAGATTGAGAAGATAAAAGTTAATAAAATGTATGGAGTTTGGTAAATTGCTTAAAAGATGTTATACTATAAAATTGTGCAAATATATATTTAAATAATTTATTTACACAATAATGTGAGGTCTGGGATGCTAGATATTGCCATTTCAGAAAAGGAATCAAATAGCTTTGGATGGAAAATGAAGAAAATAGGTCTAATTGATTCTTATTTTTAACAGGCGGTTAGATACTTCTGATCCACATAGCTAAAACTTTTCTTAACTAGATCTATACACCATCAGATTCACAAAATGTAGCAAACTGTCAGAAGAACTGCAAACATAGTTGCCAACTAAGGATTCAACACTAGAATTCAGAATCTCAACCTGACAAATCAAGAGTAGGAAAACTGTTTAGTACATTCTGAACAAGCTTGTAAATAATAGCATAATCAAGTTTTACATGAACTGGTTTCCGAATTTTTAAAGCTCATACAAGAACCCAAAAACCTTTTGGATATCAGCAAAGCAACCAATCAAAGCTTTAAACTCCAGGGCAAGTAGTTCATTGCAAATTAAGAAACATAGCAAATAATCAGTTAAAAATGAGCTTGAGAAAAAAACATACTCATTTCACCTCACATTGTTTCAATATGCCATTTGAATATGACTCTTGAGAGAAGAAAGCACCCTTCACCTGAATAAGAGTTTGGAGATAGAGAGGACGAAAGTTCTGAATAATAGACCACAAAGCAATGAGAAATTGACTCGAGACTGTGATAAGTCCCATTTATACAGGGCTGGATGTCCTAGAGAAAATTCACAAAGTTAGGTGAATAAAGGAAGAGGAAAACAAAAAACTATCAAGAAAAAGTTCCTAAGGACTGGAAATTAATTATATGAGTAAGTATTCATGTGCCAATTTTGCATGACGCATAGGATTCACGATTCTCTTATAGTTTACTAGATTGGATACCATTTCTAGGTCCACATAACTCAACCAATAGATTGATGCAGGAAGGGTAGTGAAGCCAATCTGAATAAAGAATACACCCTATAATATTTATGAGTGCAAGACAGTAAAAGAAGTAAAAAATATTGCCTTAATCACATGGCATATTTCTTTGCAACTTCGCTGAATACTTAAAATATGAAGGGTCCAAGTTGAGAAGCTTCCATTTGGAGGAACTAGTACAGATAAAGTGCAGGTGAAAGTAGTCTCCTTTGATTTTTGACCGATGAATAACTACTTAATTAAGATTGTGAAACATGCATGACTGGTCAAGCGGTAAAGCCGTAAAGTCACCAGAGGCATGAAGATATGTTCTAATACTATGTGTATGCATTTTGCCCCGATTTAATTCTATATAAAATGTCTTTTATATTAGTATCTTTCTCTTGAAGTGAAATGCACGTTCAGTCTGGAAACAATTTCTTTCAATTTGCAGGAAGACTTTACCTAAGTCTACTGAAGGATTTGGATCCTTCTTCCTTGTGCTCAGAGAAACCATTTTTTAATATGGTTCGAGCATTTCGGTTGTTGTCATGGACATTCGTCTTGGGTATTGAGTATGATGAGTAATCTACTTTGTTGATGTAGTGGAACAATTGTTGATGCAATTTCTGCACTTAACTGCTTCAAATGTTTCCCAGTTATAAAGTTTCTTGTGTTGTGGCCACCCATGTAGGAGTTAAGTCTAAAAACCTACCGTTTTGTATTGCCGTCCTGACAAAGTTCTCTGTTTCTGTAATCATCTGCATGCATCTTGAGAGATATTCTCTTTTGTTTATTCTTATAACTGCAGTTTGACTAAGCCTGGGTGTTTGCAATCTGTTCAGTCTATTTCAAGTTAAAATTAAAGTTGGCCCTTCTTTAGAATTTACTATGACGGCATGCCTTATAGTCTGCCTTCTTCTCTCTATTTTCTCACCCTTGTCATGTTTCTATTGTTTTGCTTCGCAGTAACGAGCTCCTCAGTTTTTATCAACTTGCCTGCTGCTGCTCTCTTAATTGTTTTCCTTCGTTATCTGTCTCTTGATTTTGATGCGCGGATGAAAGCTGCTACATACAAAAGAAAGTCATCCGTATCAAACAACACTTCTCAGAGGAAACATATTGATGCTCCAAGAGCAGTTAATGAGAAGGCCAATTGGAGGAAGAAAGTAAATTCACCTGTTGTAGAAGAAGCAATAGATCACTTCACCAGACATATAGTTTCTGAGTGGGTCACAGATCTCTGGTACTCCCGCATAACTTCTGATAGACAGGGACCTGAGGAACTTGTGCAGATCATGAATGGTGTACTAGGGGAAATCTCATGTCGCATGAGAACTATTAATCTTATAGATCTTTTCACAAGGTTTAATATTTTAGTTCCTGGATGTTGCTGAAGATTTCCCTTTAGTTACTTATTATCTTAAGGAAGTCAGCAACTGAAAACATGCAGGGATATTATCAATCTAATTTGCACTCATTTGGAGCTGTTTCGTGCAAGCAAGATGAGGATTCAGAAGAAACGGCCAAGATCCTTGACAATTGAAGAGCTAGATGTGGAACTTAAACAGGTGTTGGCTGCAGACGACAAATTACATCCTGCTTTATTTTCTCCGGAGGCTGAGCACAAGGTAATTTCATTTTTTTAATCTCCTAACGACCGATAATCCATTGATATCAATCCCTTTTGGTTAGGATGGTTTTATTTATCTTATACTAATCTTATTCATCTGCAGGTTCTCCAGCATCTCATGGATGGTCTTATTTCATACACTTTTGAGACAGAGGAGGTGCAGTGCTCTTTATTCCGCTACATTGTCAGGGAGCTTCTTGCTTGTGTTGTAATACGACCAGTTTTAAATTTAGCTAATCCAAGGTAACTGCTTCCTAGATCTTGCTTGTTGTAGTCAAATTTTGTTTCTGTTCTTTATTTGTTCACAAACTTTTGTCAGGTTCATTAACGAGAGGATTGAGTCTCTAGTTGTTTCTCTAAAGAAGGCTGATAAAGGAACCACAGGAACAGAAACAGAACCACAGTCCACACCGGTTGGATCGGGTAAAATATCAGCAGATCATTTTTCTCAGGTTATAGATCCTTCTGCTAAGGGTGTAGAACTTGTACAATTGAAAAAAGACCAATCTAATAATACTGAGGAGCATGTCATGGACAGTGTGAATGTAACAGATTTGTCAAAGGACCCTTTACTTTCGATTGATCCTCGGTCTACTCAATCTTGGAGTTCTTTGCCATCAGAAATCGCTGCAGGTGACGGAAGAGGTATTCAAAGACACCACTCTGGAGGAGAGTGGGGTGAAATGCTAGATTTGCTTTCTCGTAGAAAGACCGAAGCCCTTGCTCCTGAAAATTTAGACAACATATGGGCAAAAGGCAGAAACTATAAACGGAAAGAAGAGGCCAATCTAGCATCTGATACACTCAAAAAGAGTTTATTGGTAAGTGCACCAAAACTTCTGGGACACTCAAAGGAAGCTAAAGAGAAAGTGAGTGAGAGAGAAAACAAGGTTGGAGCTAAGCATTATGTGAAGGACAATACTTCCTTGCAGGGTGATTTGAACAGACCAAGTTATCCTCCAGATTGCTTGTATCAAGAGGAAAATGAACATTACTCAGATGACCTTGAATCAGAGAGCAGTAGTTCTTACACTACTGAAGATGAAGAACCCAGCACTGTGACGGGTCTTGACTCTCCTGGCACTCAAGTGTGGGATGGGAAAAATATAAGGAATGTCAATCACATTCATCATCCACTTGAAAATAATGAAGGCCATAAGAGAAGAAAAGGAAAATTTAGTAAAGCACATATCCGTTCTAAACACTTAAATAGAGTACTGTCTGGGCGGAAAAGGTCTAAAGTAAGCATCCAAACAGGGCATGCGTGGCAAGAGATACAAAGAACCAGCTTCTTACTGGGGGATGGGCAAGATATATTAAATTCCAAAGAAAATGTGAAACCAGATGGCTTAAGTGATGACTCTGAGACAGAATTATTCAGTAGAATTTCTAGTGACACAACTTCATCTGCATCATCATCTGCCTTGTCGAGAAGCGTTTTGGAAAATCATAATATGGGTCCTCATTCTGCAAAAGGTTCTGTAATTGCTGATTCTTTTTTGAAATTAAGAAGTGAGGTATAGATTTGATTGCCATCCTTTTTCCCATGTTACTTGACTTTCTGGATAACTCGAAGGGTCTTGGATGTCTACTGAATTAGCCTTTTTTCGGTTGCAGGTCCTGAGTGCAAATATTGTAAGAAGTGGCTCCAAAACTTTTGCTGTTTATTCCATATCTGTTACAGATATGAACAATAATAGTTGGTCTATCAAAAGAAGGTAGAGTGATGTGAACTTTATGCTGTTAGGCATTGTGAAGATCGCTCTTTCGTATAGATTGTAATCTGAAGAGTCTCTAGCATCAAATTTAACTTTTGGCTGCTGGTTGCAGGTTTCGACATTTTGAGGAGCTACACTGGCGTCTTAAAGAGTTTCGGGAGTACAATCTTCATTTACCTCCTAAGCATTTCCTCTCTTCAAGTCTGGATGTTCTTGTCATTCGAGAACGGTGCAAATTCCTTGACATGTATTTGAAGGTGATACTTTAACAGATGGCATCTGAAAGTCCCTTTCTAAGCCAATCAATATTACGTTCTTCTCTAGATCAAAGTGCATCATGTTATACACATTTGCTATGATATCAAAATAAAGTTGAAATGTTATTCTCACTCTATTTTCCCCCTTTCATTATTGTTATACTTTTGCACTTTATCTTGATCTTAGTTCTTTAATAGTACTTGGACTTTTCATCTCTGCCAAGGAGTGTCTTTTGTTTCTGAAATCAATGAAATACCACCGGTTCTAGTACTATTTGGAAGTCATGGGTTGCCAAGAAAAGTTTAAGATTAATCAGGAAACTGGGTTTTGGTATATAATCCTCTAAAAGATCTTGTTCACATTAGTTTGCTATAGCTTTTATTTATTTTCTCTAATGTTGTCTTTATTTTTTATTTGGCTTCTCTTTCTGCTTTCCTCAGAAGCTTCTGCTGCTCCCAACTGTTTCCAATTCCATCGAAGTATGGGACTTCCTCAGTGTAGATTCCCAGGTTGAAAATATTTTCAGTTCACAGATTTCTTAGTCTTGATTGATTTTTGAACAAAGAGAGTTGATTTTACCTTCTTCTTTCTTTTTTCTTTTTTTGGTTATGCAGACATATAGCTTCTCAAACTCCTTGTCCATAATTGAAACATTACCAGGTGAGTAAATTGAGTTTGCATGATGAGGGGGAAACAGATGGGGCTTTGTCTTATGTGTTAGTCATAAATAGTTTATATGGATATTCGATTTCAGTTGACCTGGATGGCACTGTACGTCAAACGAGTAAAGAACCTCCACCTGGTATAAGCTCTCGAACCGATCTCTTATCCTCCAAGGGGGAGCGTTCTAATACTGAAAGCAAGAATCCAACTTTAAGGATGGAGCAAGATCATTCGGTACATGAATCAGGATTAAGGAAAAATTATGTCGCACTCTCTCCTCCAAAAAGACCTCTCAAAGAAACTTTTGAGGATTCAACTAGGGACCATAAGGTGCATACAAATAGAAAATCAACCCCAAACATGCAGACGTCATCAAAACCAGTTGAAACTAACTCACATGCATCACCTGAATCTCTCGTTGATGCTCTCATTGATCCCGCCTTTCCCAGTGAGGTAGTTACTAGCGACTTGTCTAATTTGCTAAGCATATATGTCCTTGCATTATTGAACTCTGAAGAATAGATTTCTTATGATTCGAATTGATTATGGAAAGATAAGAAAGTTATTTTATTTAAGGATACTCTTTATATTTGTTATATTTTCCTAGTAGTGAGTTGGAAGCAGTTTAGCCTGATAATTATCTAAATTTGCTCTAAACCTCATTTTTGTTTCACTGTAGTGGGTGCCACCAAATTTAAGCGTGCCTATATTAGATCTTGTTGACGTCATTTTTCAGCTCCAAGATGGTGGATGGATCAGGTATCATTTAGTCATTTACATATGCAACTAACAAATTAAGCTGTTGGACTTGATTATAAATGCACTTGTGTCATGGACTTCACTGGACCTGTTGACTTGTGTGTATTTTAGGAGGAAGGCGTTCTGGGTGGCTAAGCAGGTTTTACAATTGGGAATGGGTGATGCATTTGATGATTGGCTGATTGAGAAAATCCAGCGGCTGCGCAGGGGTTCAGTTGTTGCTGCAGGTATCAGACGTGTTGAACAGGTAATTTTCAAGTGTCATAACTTATTTGTTTATTTTTTCTGAAAGAGAGATGCTAATGACAATTCAATTTGCATGTGGACTAGTAATTATTGTAGCTCACTGGATAAGTACCATTACCTCTAGAATTCCTCCAACATTTCTTAGTTCGAGAAATTCTTTTGTCCTATTTTTATTCTTTTCTGATCGCGCTCTGTGTTCTTTATTCCCTTTTCTTGGAGTAGGGGTGGGGCATTTAGTATGCACAGCCATCAGTCATCCCTGAACTTTATTGCTGTATCTTGCACAAATGCCTTCAAACGAAAGAAGTGGTTCACGCTTCTTTAGAATCCTTTCAAAGCAGTTTTGGATGACTCTTGACGCCCAAGATTCTTTGAGACTAATATCCTACCAATGTCGGATTTAGTACTACCTATTTTAACTGTGCTCCATGTAGATTCTCTGGCCAGATGGTATATTCATTACAAAGCACCCGACTCGTCAACGTCCTGGACCCTCTCCATCCCCTAATTCTCCTCAAGGCCAACCTTCCACTTCATTAAGTTCACCTTCGCTAGAGGATTTACTGAAGCTGGATGAGATGCAACAGCAGGAAGCACAACGACGTGCAAAACTTGTTTATGAGCTAATGATTGGTGGGTTGTTTTAATTTACCATGTTCTGTTGGCTATACGCATTCCAACACTTGATCATAATCCATATCTCTACTCTGCAACTGTTTGACTCCTATATCATTTGCAGATAAGGCACCAGCTGCTATTGTAGGGCTTGTTGGTCACAAGGAATATGAACAATGTGCAAGGGATCTTTATTACTTCATCGAGGTGATTTTTCCCCCAGTGCATTTAGAACTACTTTTGAGATCATTTCTTTTTTCCTTTTGTGATTGATAGGCTTTTAAAGTCCCTTTTTTCATCTTTGTTTCTGTTTTTGCCCTCTTCTAGATAGTAACAACTAATTTATGTTTCTTGTACAGTCATCCGTGTGTATGAAGCAGTTAGTCCTTGATCTTCTTGAGTTACTACTGTTATCCGCATTCCCAGAGCTGACTTCTGTATTTAACGTATTGCACGAGGAGAAGGGCAAGTTTGGAGAACTCAAAATAGAATAGGTGGATCAACTTCCAAAATGTTGGTTATACAATGTTAAGGAAAACTGTAAACAAAGTTCTGATTTTTTTCTTTGTTTTTTATTGTAAAGGTTATGTTATGTATAAGATTCTTTTTTCTTCTTGAGCAGTCTCCTTGATGTGCATCTCAGAGACAGAAAATTATGATGGGTGTAGAATATTTCACTCATTATCCCGTTGCCAACAATGTTGGAATACTGTATTTGGAGAGAATCAATGAAGATAAGCTCAATTGAATCGTCATGCCAAAGCAGTGGCTCATTTTAAAAACATTGTTAAAAGTATTGAAATGAAATGAACACAAAGGAAGCAGAATGGATACAAAAAATTCACACTAGTGAAGTTAGATAGCTCGGAATAGAGGCATAACACATTGATTGACAAGATTCACTGTTTAAACTCTAACCCATAGAGAATGTGTTAACAGAAGTAATATCATTCTGTGTTGAGGTGGAGAATGACTTGGATTAACCCCTGAAGATACCCAGCTCAGCTCTCTATTTCCCAAGGAAGGCATCCCTCAGTTAATGCTTCAACCATAGCTTCATCTCGTCATCTTACAGTCTTTGTACACCCCGAGAAACTACTTATTCCTTTGATAGCTCTCAATCCATTTATGAATCTGACACCAAATCCTTATGCTGTGATTCCCTATGCGCATTTGACAAACTAAATGTAGATAGTTAAGTAGTTGACTTCCCTTATATTTTTCTTAGGAGTCCAAGACTGGGAGGGTTTTGGCCCTGTTGATCACAAATTCTCTAGCCAACCACACAATCCCTCCTGCATTATCAACCCATAATGATATATTGCAGACATCCCTAAAACACTACGATGCAAAAAACAAAGACTGATAGATGATTTAATCTAAAAACAGTGCACGAGACAATCTCAAATTTAAGACATGCAGAAACTTGTCAAATCCGCAGTAAAAATAATGGAATACCCAAGTTTCGTTCTTTCATCTTTTACTTTATTGGGGGTTATGAGGGAGGTCGGAATTATGTTAGAGTGAGTCAGCATGTCACACAAAGATTAACGACTATATGAATTATTGATAGGGAAAGGCACCACAATACAAGTCATTATATTGGAAAGGAACAAGTCCCCCATACTAATTCATTCAGTCACCATAGAGACATCCCAAAAGTTAAGTTAACCGTAAAAGCTTAGAACACCAAATCTAGCCATGGGCGAGAAAAGAAGATCCCAATACTAGGAGGAAGAATATAACATTCTCATTTCTTTCCGCTCTTTTTCAGGCCAGTACCACCAATGGAGCCTTTCGCAGCCTTTGCCTTGAGCTCCTTTAGTGCCTGCAAAATCACAAAATAAAGGGTTAATGGAATCAGAATGATAGGTGTATCCCACAGGCTGCAAGCACTGGAAGAATGAGTTACCTTTTCCTCTTCCTTCTTCTTTGCAAGGAAAGCCTTGTCATTCTGCAGATAAATCAAACACGTACAAGTTAGAGAGAGCAGCAAACATCACATGGAAGCTCATACACCAGAGACAAATACTTACTACAGTGGATACCAAATTCTGAGCATGAAACATGACCAATAATAACAAACGTTTCATTATTAGTCATCTGCTCGCACTTCTTCATAGCAGAGTTAGCAAATATTATCCTGACTAGTAGAGAATCTCTGAAGGTGACCATCTAAATATATATTCCTCAACACAGCCAAATAACTTGCATAACAATCTTCACTGGCTTCACTGACCTAGATATGTCAATGGAAAGCATATAGATATGGGTAGAACTATAGTGGACATTATCAACACTGGCTTGTGCCCATCAATCAACTACGACTCAACTTGAAACCAGTTGGGTCGACTATATGAATCTTTTAATTATTTCCACCAAACAAAAAGAAATCCTTTAATTACTCCGCTCACCCTACCCCACACCCACATCAACAAAAATAACGTTGTACCCTCTCTATACCACTTGCAGCCCTACTGAGAAAACAACAAAACTCAAATGAATTCCCCATAAATTTGCTTCTTTTTTCCTTTGTTTCTTCAATGTTCCCTTTCCTCCTTAAATCTCTTTTCCATTTTCAAAGTGCCTCCAGAAACAATTAAGAACCTCTTTATGCAGCTACAAAGTATACCCGCATTACCTGCAAAATAGCCGTGCGACTCTAACAGGCATGTTTTCTGCATATAGACTGGATGCCTAACCCAACCTCCGCCTTACTATCCGTAAGCCCGAGGCATAAGTAAAATTTTAAATTCTAAGACCGTAGCTTGCACACATATCTTGCTAAAATTGTCCAGCAGTATCTTAGTGCTGATTTTTGCCATCAATGAAATAATTCTGGTCGCTTATCCCCCCCAAAAGAACTACTAAACAACAACTAAGCCTTCCAAAAATGTTGGGGTCGGCAATAAGAATCCTCACTGACCATGTTACTTCAAATAAGCTCACCTCAGGCCAATACTATTTAAAAAAAAGTACTAAAAGTTCTTTATATTTTCTAGGGATGTATAAATCTTTGTAAGGCTAAAACAGCTCCTATATAGCAGCATAGGATGTGAAGTAAAAATGTTAACATGACTAAAACCTTATCCCCAAACAAAGAAAGAGAGAAAAAATTCAGCTGATACGCAAACAAGGGCATATCAGTCAGCTAAGTCTCAATCCGGAATAAGTTGGGGATCGGGCATACAATCCTTTGTTCCAATTCAAAGGATGCATCACTCATAAGTAGAGACTATATATCTACCCAAATTTGAGAGTTCAAATCACTATTACCTCTATTTGAATCAAAGTTTCTCAACACAAACTCAAGACATAAAATAAACAATATATTGGACAGACGGATTGTAATCAAAATACGAGATCTGCAAAATAAGTAAAAGGATGGACACAATAAAATAAAAACAAAATCTTTCCCTAATTACCTCGTCGTATTCCTTCTTTTCACTCTTTGGTGCCTTCAAAGGCTTTGCCTTTCCACCTGTTCCACAAAAAGAAAAAGCAGTTGTTAAATCAATTCAGTTCTTAGCCGTTCTTCTACCCTTTTTACAAAATCAATCAACCAAACACACCTCAACCCCAAATTAATTGGGCCAGATATATGTCAAAAATAATCAAAAATCAAATCTTTGAAAATCAATAATTATAGAAAAGGCGATTAAAAGTTAAAGAAGAGAAAAAAAGGGAGATTAAGGAGTGTACCTTGCTTAGAAGACATGGTTGATTTTCTAGGGTTAAGAGTTTGGATCTGATTATCGGTTAATTAGAGAATGGAAATACCTTCTCCCAACCCACACAGCTCTTTTGTAAAGTGGCGTTGGAATTTTTAGGACAGTCGCATAACTTTATAACATTGGTGGACAACCGTGGAATTATTGGGGTGGGAATAAAAGTTTTGGATTTACTGTTTTACCCTCTTTGGCTGAAGTGTCAATGGGAGTTTATGAGGGGGCTTTTAGGTATTTGAATAAAGGAATCAGCCTATTAGGAGTAGGGCTACCGCATCATTCCTTTAGCAACTTGCTTCTTTTCTTGTTCCTTTTTTTTTTCTTCGATATTTTTTTTTTTTGTGAAATTCTCAAAAAACAAATAAAACAATTAAGTGAAAATAACATCTATAGAGTTGTATTTGGACATGAATATAATTTGGAGCTGTTTATGAATTTTTGTAAGTAATTCGAAGTGAAAATTTCGAAAAATAACTTTTTGAAGTTTTTGAAATTTTTTGAAATTCAACTTCAAGTGAAATTTAAAATTTTCATGGCCAAACTGTCATGACCCAAAATCACGTGACCGACACCCGATATACTATCCCACCTAGGTGAACCAACCCGTACAAGAATGCTCATCTATATGCATAATAGATACATGCGGAAGCCTTTTTGAAAATACAATCATGTTAAATGATTAAAACCATACATGAAAGAAAATATTTAGATCCATCATTTTTCAATAACTAAAAAAAATACTAAATTATAACAATATTCCTTTCATGCATGTCATATGAATAACTCTCAATTACAACTCCATAATAATAATAATTGTCTATGAAATCTCTAAGATACAAGGGTGAAATAAATACTTGAGACAAACCCCAACCAAAAGTAAGATCGACATGAAGGCTACCACGAAATAGAAGTGGTGCCTTACTATATGCCTCGTAAAGAGAGTCATCCTAGCCTCATCCGCCCATCACGTACCACATCTCATCTTGAAAACATGTAAAGTAAGCGAGACCCCGGAAAGGGCCCCTGGGGGCTGAGTACACCACCACGTTACTCAATAAGTGTCATAGACTCTCTCTAACTCAAGTTTCTGGGACAAGACTTTACAAAAATAACGTAACCAACATTTGATATAAAACGATAACAATTATATCAATTCATGTTCTTTATCATTTCAAATGAAAAGAATTAAAAAATATAAATCATGATACAAACTTTTAAAATAATTATATCGACCCATAATTCTAATAAGAATCATGCAAAATTATTTCAACTTCATTAAGTCATTGAAACCCCTTTCGGCTCTTTAGACCTAAACATAACAAATTTATTTTTGTACGTTTTCACCGGGAGTACTATACCATCACTGACACAAGAAGGTCAACTAGGTTATGTACCTAGCGGCAAGTATCATATACCCTACTTGTTCAGGTCGTCTCATCGCAGTACCGTACGAATCGACTCAACCATGTTATTAATAACACAAAATAGCACCCTCTCAAGGAGGATACTCTAACGTAGTCTATACCACAAAGTGGCCATCTACACCTACACTGACACATGTAGTTTCATGATGACGAACACGATATACCGAAGCCAATCTCTGTGAATACAAGTAACTGCCAAAATAATTGATACCCAAAAATAGATTCACAGCAAATAGCCTCAAAATATCTATTTTATCAAAGCATGATATTTATAGTCAATTCAAACTGTTTGAACTAAATAAAACAAAATCTTTTTTCATTTCATATTAAGCAATTAACAAAATGAGATTCCAATCCTTAAAGATTTGACAATTGATACTTCAAAATATAAAGATTTTAGAAGTACTTATTATATTTCTCATTTTATAAAATAAAGATAACAATAAAACTCAAATATTTAATCCCTTTATCATCAACATAAGTTCTTTAATAAAACTTATAACGTTAGTCTCAAGTGTCATTTTACTAACCAATATTTAAAACAACGTTTTTAGAAAATAACATAACACTTCATATGCAATACAATATTTTAGTACATGGAGA